CAGAAACAGTACTATATAACATTTTAGACACATTCTAGACAGTTTATCAGCTAAAAAAAGTTAATTTTGGGGTAAGTTACTCTTTAAGGCCCTGTCGCACTAGACAACTTATGCCAATATGAACATTCTAAAGATGTCTATTTTAAATCTGGAATTGAAAAAATCAACAGGAAGCTTCTTTTCGGCGTGTACATAATGTAATTCTAACAAATTGATCAAATGTACAACTTTAGCAGTTTAGACAAAAAATGTTTCATYAGTTGTCTAGTGTGACAGGGTCTGTAGCCCAAGAGGGGTTGTGCTGTTGTGGGATCTGGAGATGGTTACAGCATCCTTTAACAGGTTTAGATTATGTTGATCTTTCCGGTTCACACTTTAAATGAGAGTTTTTTAACCCTGGTCCTCAGGACCAACCGTCGGGGGCGGCACACCTGATTCAAACCATTGAATTACCTARTCAGAATGCCATCAAGTTTATCTGAAGCCTGTCAATCATTGTTTCAGTCGGGTGTGTTGAAGCAGGACAGTGGGTCACATGGAAAAAGGTTAAGACTTTTGCTTTAAAGCAATCATCGGTTTTAGATTTTTAAAAACATCTTTTAAAACCAAAATAATTCAGATCAGTCTGTTTTCACAAAAGTGACCTCCAAGGCAAATAACATAAATATCAAGAACAATAGAGGAAACGACGGCACTCAGCTGCACTGTATTGATAAATACAAAAAAAACTCTCAGTAACCTGCGCAGAAACAGCTTTTCAGTCAGGCAGGATGAAAGCACCTGCAGAGGGAGAGCAGTGGGCAGAGATGGAGATTATGTCACCCCAGCACCCACTGGAGAGGAGGATCCTGGACCAAGACGAGGGTGAAGGGTGTGCGTCATGTTCTCAAATCAAGCCCACCATCACACACACACACACACACACACACACACACACACACACACACACTGACTCATGTGTGGACACGAGCAGCAGAAATGGCACAAAAATACAGAGAGCTCATAACTCCACATCACCAAGGCAACTAAACACTGAACGCACTTTGTTTCACTGTCCATCAAACAAAAGCAGCACAATAATGTTAGTTTTCTTTTCTAGATTATAACAGTTTGTTTCGGATAAAATGAGAAAKAGATGAGTTTTCTGATTTAAAAAAAAAGTCTCACCTGAGGCTGCAGCAGGTGTCCCCTCTCGCACCGCAGGGCAGAGGAAAGCTTGGAAACTGGACGCACACAGCTCGCTCACAGTCCCCATCACCACACACTGTTTGTTCAGGAATTCAATAAAAAATAAAATCAGATTAACAGCATCTTTCTGATTGTCCTCCCCCGAAAAAGCTCCTTGTGTTTTCCCTCCTGAGCGCCGCCAGACTCTGAGAAACTCTCAGGGAAAAATAACCTCCTGCTCCACGTTCTCTCTCTCTCTCCTCCCTCCTCGCCGTTGTTCACGCACTTGACCTCACTCCTGAATCCGGCCGCCTCTCTTCCACTTCCACGTGAAAGAATAGTYATGATAATCAAAAAATAAAAACACGCACGCACTACGCCACCCCGCCTCTGTGAGGTTCGACGAAGAAAACGAGTGTTCATCTGCAGAAACCCACCCACTGCTGTGTCACTTTGAACAGTTGTTTAAAAAGTATTCTTGGAGGTGGTGACAAATGGCCAGACACACACACACACACACACACACACACACATCACATCCTCCTGTTTCACACTTCCACGCAGTTTGGTTTAGTCAGAGCTGAGTAAACAAACGCATCACTGTTGAAAGTCGTATCACTACAAACTACTTTACGAGCAAAGTTTTTATGTTTTCGTGAATGCACATCGCCTGATTTTGACTAAAATAACACAGGTTCTGCACAGCCTCATGTAAAGTTAGAAGCTCTGATGCATAAATGCTCAGAGTTTGTGTTGAAGACAACCCTCGGCTACTACCACACCAAATTTTAGCTCAGTGCCTTTATAATTGACRGTGTTGTAGCCACTTTGGCTAAGTTTGATTATTCGTGGTGGCCATCTTGAATTGGGTTGGCTCCAAAACGTAAAGAGTTTTAGATCAACCCCCGATGACTACTTCCTGAGAGATGTGCTCAAATCTAAGCAGCAGCTCATGAGATATTTTGCTAACAGACACAGTTAGCAGCTAACAGATAATGGGATAATTTAAAGCAAATCACTCAAGTGATCAGTTAGAGCTCAGGTTTTGTGTTGGCAATCAAGCTCGGCTACTTCCACTCTAAATTTCAGATCAATATCTGCAAAACTGACTGAGCTGTGGTCATTTTTGCCATGCGTAAGGTCATTCGGCTGTGGCGGCCATCTTGAATCCATTACGTATGCGAATCCAATAACTACTTCCTGTTAGTTTCATTAAAACATTGGTTCAATAGAGGCGAAATTGAAAGTATTTGAAATGTTTGAACAAATGGACGAGACGTAGCAGCTGAAGCACGAATATAGCAGCGATAGCTTRAGCTGTGAGCGTCTAATTTCAGCGCTGAGGGTTCAGCCTCGTGCGACGGGGAAGTGAAAACGTGGGAAACGTCAGCAGTTGTTGCAGTTGCCCTTGCGCGTGTTTGAAAAAAAGAAGAAAACAAAAACTGCTCCTCTAAATTTAAGCTGCATCTGTTGAGAAGAACCGCTGCTGTCTAGACTGAGCTGGGCACCTTTTTTTTACACAAAACATCCCTCCTTCACCTTCATTTCTCTTTTCCACTCATTAAATCCGTCCTCCTTTTTCCATCTCCTCTCTTTGCAAAGCTGACCTCTTTCTCTCGCACTGCACCTCGTCCTGAACTTCCTCTGCCACCTATCGCTTTTACAGTGTGCCTTTGCTTGTCTGTTAGCAAAGTATCACATGAACCACTTGACTTTTACAACAAAACGTTCAGGAAATGATCAAAATAAGTAGGCCCTCTGGATGGGTTTTTCTTTAGTGAAACGTTTCGTCTCTCCTCCAAGAGACTTCTTCAGTCATTTGTGGCGGGAGTTTCAGAGAAACTGGGATGTTTATTCTCTAAACATGACATCTCAGTGGCTTTCAAACCCCAAAACACAACAAAGATTAGTTCACCCCAAAGATCCAGTTCCCCGGCAAAAGCAGAGTAATATAGTGTATGCTGTTAAGTGTCAGGAGGACTGTGATCAGTCATACATTGGCGAAACAAAACAGCCGCTGTTCAAAGAATGAGCCAGCACAGACGAGCTACTTCATCAGGTCAGGACTCTGCAGTTTACACTCATCTACAGGCCAGTGGTCACTCTTTCAGTGATGAAGATGTTCTCATCCTTGATAGAGAGGAACGTTGGTTTGAGAGAGGAGTAAAGGAAGCCATCTTTGTGAAGAAAAAACGTCCACCATTAAACAGGTGGAGGCCTTCGTGTCCAGTTGTCTTCCTCCTACAATGCTGTTATTGCAAGTATGACTCAGCCCCCTGTGAGCAAAAGGTGTGAATCAGGGCCCCAACGATACCAACACAAAGAGGGAAAGAGAGACAAAAACAAGGGGATGTTGAGCCCCTGCTTGCATTCACTACATACACATGACACGACACCAAATAACCACAGCTGAAGCATCCAAACCAAAAAGTCAGGTGATGGGGCACATGATCCTCTATGAACAATAGAGCTAATCAAGCCTATTGTTAGGCGATGGCCCTCTTTTGCATGTGACTAACCTGTTTGTCCATGTGGAGGCAGTGCTTATAAGGCTGAGTTCACCTGAAACTCATCAGACTGAAGACGTCTCTTGGACGAGAGATGAAACGTTTCACTAAAGAAGAACCCATCTGGGGGACCTACTTATTTTTTCTTTTTGATTTTCCTACCTGTATTCCTGAGATGCATCAGGACAATCACTGGTTATAACAAGCACAACTGATTACCCTTTGGAGCCAAACTAATCAAGATGGCCGCCACAGCCAGCTGAATCCAGATGAAATAAAACGAAATGAACTAAAATTTTCCATGATAGTAGCTTAGGACTCTGAGCAACTCACAAAACTCAAAATATCTTGTGAAGCACCAGAGGGAGTTTAGTGAAAGTCTCAGATGTTCATCTACAGCTCATTAACGTCTGGAGTCAACCTAATTCAAGATGGCCGACACAATAAGTCAACCTTATGGATGTAGCTCAGTCAGCTCTACAGATGTTAAGCTCAAATTTGTTGTGGTTGTAGCTGAGAGTCGTCCTCAGCACATACTCTAAAAAAATGCATAAAGTCGTTTACAAAGTTTGACCAAAACAACTACAACTCTGTCCTTTTATCTTTTCGTTTAAAACTCTGGCATAAAATGTAGCAGAATGCTACGCCTTTAATTTTCATGTTTTTTTTAAACTCAAAAAAGGCAACGCGTTTAACTCTAAAACGTCTCTGAACAGAAGAGTAGGTGTTGTGATATAAGCAGCCTCGCTGAACTTTTCAAAGATTTACATATGAATCGAAATGCCAGATTTGTTCTTTTTTGTCTCTCCCCCCACCAGCTTCACCACCGTCCTCCACGTCGTGTGATCAAATACATTATGATAAATGTCACTGTGTTACAGCTGAGCTGCCTGATCATTAAAGTCACGTTTTTAAAATGTATATTTATAAAAATAATAATCAGCAGCAGCATCTTATCAGTGGGTGGTAAATGGGACTGGGTTTCTGTCAAGCTCTTCCCAGCCTGAGCACTCCGATTGCTGCGTTCACAAACACATTTACATATAAAGATTTCTGTCCTTTACACATTTTTATACATTTACACACATTTACATATATTTACACACAAAGGAGTGGATTTAATGCAACGTGGGATCGCTGTCATGTATTTATTCTCTGATTAACTAAATAAAAGACATTTATGTCTGGGTTTTTCTTCTTTCCAGCATTTTTTAAACTCGATCAGGTTTGTTTTGACCAATCAATGATCTGCTCATCACTAACTAAGATTAAACCTGAAGTTATTGTTTAATAAGTTAAGGAATAATGGGGAAAAAAAATCCAGAAGCAGTTTTTGCAAAATCACTTAGCTCTCTGATTAAAAGTTAGGGATGACTCTCAGCTACTACCACACCAAACCTTAGCTCATTGTCTGGAAAACTGACTGGGTTATAGCCAGTTCAGTGTTGGTGAATGTCAATAAGCTGTGGCGGCCATCTTAAATCAGATTGAGTCCAAAAGTTAATCGTTTGTAGACATCAATCCAGTGATTAATTACCTCAAGTTTCATTAGGATCAGTCCACTGGTTCATGAGATATTTTGCTAACAGACACAGCCAAAATCTTCATTTCCTGCCTATTGATCGGTGGGTGAAACCTGCAGTCTATTTTTCACATTTCATATGGATTTAGACTAAACTACTTGGAAAACTGAATGAAAACATTGATGATTCTGGATCCTTTTTAACCTGTACATATGCGGTCACATGATTTCCCACATGTGAAAAAAAAAAAAACAATAAATCCACACGTTTGCTTCCCTTTAAAGAATATTATCTGCTTTAAGTTTTAAAAATCAGCACTGAGCGATCTGAGCTGAGGGAAGTGTTCACACTGAACCCAAATGTCCTGATTCAGGTCCAGTTTAGTCCTGATTCAGGTCCAGTTAAGTCCTGATTCAGGTCCAGTT